GCAGTACATAACTTCTACCTTTAATATGTGTTTACCTTTTATTTATGTCTCAACCTTGACTGGACTAGACATTTCTATAGAGGCAAGTAAAAAAATAATCTGCAATTCTATCCATTCTCCAAGTTTTCTCTCCTAAGAGTATTCCTTCATACAAAGAGTGATTATGTTTCTTGGCAAGTAAAGTAAAACCATTTAACTTTTTTGGGGTGGTGGTGCAGGGCGGGGGAATGTAGACACTGGGTAAATCAAAACAAAAATAAGTCAAAGGCCAAAATAGAGCTTTCCAACATGGAATGGTTTGGGAAAACTGAACATTTATATTTAAATCCTTCATCTCTTTACCTCACATTATACAAATCCAATGAACAAAGGAATCTACAGTCCTACAGTCACCATATTCATCTTTGTCAAAATCCCAAGACTAGTGGCTCACTCCATCAAGTGTAGGCCCCTGGTTGGTCTGTAACACATGGGATCCAACTTGCCAGGGATCACTTGCCCTAGCTCCCTGATGTGCCTTTTCAAATGATAACTTCCATTTCATGTGTCCCACAATACTCTACTATATTCTTCATTTTTCATGCAGTTTAACAGAGAAGATTCGCACATCTTTCTTTCCACTACATTCTGGCTGACCTGCAACCTTCTTCAGTTTTGTCATCAACCAACATGCTCCTTCAGAAATCACTTCAACTAGGGAAGCAGTGAGGAGTTAAATATTTCTATCCTCATCTTTATGAGCACCTCCTAATCATGGATAACCAGTTAAAAATATCCCTAGTACTATATAACACAATGAACTCAAAATGGATTAAATATTATAAACAAAACTAAAGACAAAACAGAACTTATCATAAGCATAGTTTTCCCTACTGTTTTGATAGCCAAGAATTTATTGGAGATGAAGTGCCTGAGTTTGATTACATTTACTTTTTAAAAATTAGACTATCAAAACAATCAAATAAAGATAAAAAAGAAAACCGACAATGTACAGAAAAAATCCACAATACAAAAATGAAGCTTCATCTTACTCAGGAATTTCCTATTGTCATATCTACCCTCAGAAATCCTTTAAATCACCCATAAGGTAATACATTATCTTTTAAACAACTGCAGCTGAAAAGGAGTTTGGGGTCTCTTTAAAAGGAAGGGGGTATATATCAGAGTAAAGATGGTTGCTATGGAAACAAATGAATGTAAATTTTATTTTTCACCACATCCAAGGAACTATTTAGCTAAAAAGGCAGAAAATAAACCCCCCAAAAAGAGTTTTTTTTTTTTTTAATAAAGCTTAACTGGCAAGAAAGGTTACAGTTACAGGGGAGAAGGGATAGGGAACCCTCCAGTAAGGGCTCCACACATGAATGTAATTATATATTAGAATGCATATCTCTTTCTTCTTTCTGTTTCACCATGAGGCAAAAGAGGACCGTACGCAAGTGACTGAACACAGCAGAAGCCTTCCAGATGAACACAAATGGCCAAGTAAGACTATTCTTCCAGTTGCCTAATGAAAAATGAATAGGGGCCACTAGGTGGTGCAGTGGATAGAGCTCTGGCCTTGGAGTCAGGAGGACCTGAGTGCAAATCCAACTTCAGACACTTGACACTTACAAACTGTGTGACCGTGGACAAGTCACTTAACCCTGATGGCCTCACCAAAAAGCAAAAAAAAAAAAAAGGAACATATGGTTTACAACTACAATTTTAGAATGTGTTCAGTCAACTATTGTTTGCTTACCCTGTGAGTGACATGGGAAATGAAACCAAGGAAGAAGCTGACTAATGTCCCCTATCTCCTATCACTCTAAGGGATTTGTCTTTAAGTGGAATGGGGGGAGAGAAATCAAATGAGCAGAAATTACCCATCATTAAAATGTTATTTTCCATTCTCTTTTTTAAATTGCCATTTTGCTCTAGTGAAGGTGCTGGAATAATTGAAAGACAAATTAAATACAGAATGACGTGAACGGATTTTAAGTGTCAAATAAAAATACTGACATATAACATAGAGAATACTGAGGCACTCTATGAGAGCAGTACCCAATCTCCAACGGACAAATGATCAAAATCAATGGACAATTTACAAACTTCAAAACACACCTGAACACCTAAAAATGTGCAGACTCACTAGTAATGAATGTTAAAACAATTAGGTAGTATTCTCCTCAAAGCTAATGGGTTCTGTACCCATGAATTCAGACTGATTCTCTTGAGAGTACATGTATACAAAACACCACATACATAAACGCCTTTTCAGGTTGATAGAATCTACCAAAGCTTGTGTTCCAGGGACATAGTCTTTAAGAAACCATGGACACCTCCTTAACATGATAGGAGAACAAAAAACACCAATTCTCCTTTCTCCCAGCAAATTCCTGCAACACGTCAACTTCTTTTAAAGTGACAAAATTAGTAAAGTTTGTAAAATGTAACATTGTTGGGGCCACATACATAAAATAGTGTTGGTGGCAATTTTCCAGAAAAAAAAAGCATTAACCTGGCAACATACTGCAGCAAGGACCATAAAACGGATCCTTTTATGATCATATAATCTTTTATGACTGCTAGGGAATATATTCCAAGGATGTAATTGAAAAGAAAAAAAATCTTCAACAAGGATGTTTACCATACAACTATATGTTAATAGTGAACCCTTAAGAGAGGTATAAACAGACGGATAAACAGTAATGTATTTGATATACTTTTGTCTCTGAGAACCCCTAGGTACTCAGGTACCACTCACTAAAGGATACATTTCCTGATTCCATTAGTTTCCCTCAAAACTATTCTATTTTGTAAATATTTCATATTGACGTGTGTGCAAGTTACTTCACCATTCTGGAGGACAAGGAAAGTTTAGGAATGTGTGTGGGTGTTTGTATTCTTAAGCACTGTGCATGTCAGGTAGGAAGCATTTATTATTGAGTTATGCAATTGTATAAAATAACAAACATTAAAACTACACATTACTATGGAAAAGTCTATCTAAAATAAATAAGTGAATAAAGGAGATTTGTAAAAGAAAGTAGAATAAAAAACTACAAATAATGGGAAAAGTCTATTTAGGGTCATTAGACTTGGGTTGGAATCTCTGGTTCTGTTACTTCCTGAAATAGTATAAAGTCCTTTCCGTGCCTCATTCTCATCTTATCAAGATGATCAGAAGAGAATGTATTGCATATAAAAGACATTATTTTTATTCAAAGTAAAAAAACTAAAGCTTAGATAAACTTAATTTTAAATCAATAACTAAATTTTACTTAAAACATAAACTTTAAAATGAGAAGCAATATCCCTTTTATAGATACATGTATTTTTTTTTACAGGTGTGCCTGGGCCCTGTATTCCAGTCTATATAAAAGTACAACCATGAGACTTTGAAAGAGATTAATGTAACTGATAAGTTGTCACTTATACTTCCAATGATAAGTGCCAATTTATGTCCTTTAAAGTTTGCAAAACTTTACATCCATTATCTGAACATCACAACGGACCTGTGGGGTTGGTCTCCTCTTGTGTGTTTTGAAATTAAACTTAAACTTGAAAATAATTTCAAAAAGAATGCCAATGCTAAATCTACTCAAGCTCAAAACACCCGGAAATCTTCTCAAGACAATCCCTAATTCACCTGTCAGGTTAAATAAAATTTGCTGGTGGAGAGGAGAACTGCAGCGTCGGGAAAGTCTAGCCGCTGAAACCAAGGAGAAGCTGGAAAATTACAAAGATGTCACGTGTGACCCTCCGAAACCCGCAAAATCTCGCACCCACAAGAGCCGAGAGGCGCCGCCGAGAAGGGCACGAGTCCGGCAGCGGTGCCCGCGCCGAAGCGCCCACGGTGGCTTCACGCTCGTCTGGCGCACCGAGAGGAGCTCGGGGAAGCCCCCGGGGGCGCCCCGACACCTCCCCACTGAGCCTCGCCTTCACTGCGCCCCAAAGTGGAGCCGCAGCAGCGTTGCCTCTGCACCTGCCCCCCCCCGGGCACTGTCGGAGGCACAACTCAGTATCCCCGCAAAAGAAGCACAAGGACGCAGGCGGGGGGGGGAGGGGGAGGCAGAAGCGCAGGGAGGGGGGCCAGGTGGGGAGGCCAGGGAGGGACACATGGGGGGGGGGGGGTCAGGTAAGCAAGCAGGAAGGTCAGACAGGTAGGGAAGTAAGCAGGGAGGCCAAGCAGGTAAGAAGGTAGCGACCAGGGAGGCTGGCAGGTAAGGAGGCAGGCAGGGAGGGATAGAGGGAGACTAGATAGAAATGCAGCTAGTGGCCAGGGAGGTAGGGAAGTAAGCAGGGAAGGAGGCAGGGGAGGAGATAGCAAGGCAGGCAGGCAGGCTTGCAGGTAGGGAGGTCAGGTGGGCATACAGCTAGGGAGGCCCAGCAGGTAAGGAGGTAGTGAGCAGGGAGGCTGGCAGATAAGCAGGCAGGCAGGGAAGTAAGCAGGGAGGCTTGCAGGTGAGGAGGCAGGTATGTAGGTAGGGAGATCAAGTGGGCATGCACGGAGGCAGGCCTGACAGATGAGCAGGTGGTGTCCAGGGAGGAGACCGGAGGGCCGCCTGCTGGCAGGCAGGTAAGGAGGCCCGCGGGGCAAGGGTCCTGCGCTCCAGGTGGGCATGCAGGGAGGGTGGCCCGGCAGGTAGGGAAGTAAACGGGGGGGGGCAGTTGAGGCGACAGGCATGCAGGTAGGGAGGCCGAGCAAGTAAGAAGGTAGTGACCAGTGAGGGAGGCAGGTAAGGAGGGAGGCATGCACAGGTAGGGAGACCAGGTGGGCATGCAGGGAGGGAGGCCCGGCAGGTAGGGAGGCATGC